CTTGATTTTGTCAGATCTCAGAAGCGTATATTCAGGGCCTTCATAGATGGATGCGAGACTGTTTTATCATCAGGTGTGACAGTGGGGCGGCTGTGGCTCTGGACGAGAAAATGTTGCATTGGCTCTTCTCTCAGTCGACTTTGTTTCTACTTCAAAACCAAACTCTTGTCTGTAAATGCACCACAGGATTTCTTAATTGCAGCATCACTTTAGCTTCTTCTGGGTCCAAATTGTAAATTATTGCATTTGTAGGCTTTTCACTTTGTAAACAACTAATTCATCATCACAAAATAATAGTAGCCTCATTAAATGTTGAGCCAAAGTCTTATTGAAGACGTGTTATTGCCCCTCGCCATGAAGAAGGTTGTGTTGAGGTTATACAGCTCCACTTTCCTCATTGTCTGGAACTATTTTCTTTCACTGATGTTTTTCATTTCATTCCTGTCATCAATAAGTGTGGTAATTGGCTCCGGTTCTACTCTGACGTTTCCTCTTTTATCCAGACTACTTTCATTACATGCTTCTTATGTCCAGTGAATCGATTTTCTTAACATTCCTATGAAATTATATAACTTTAAAACTGAGGTAACTTTGAAAATATTATTTGTCTGACTGTTCGGATCTCTGAACAGTCAAAACAGTTTTCTATCACTTGTACTAATTTTTGTCCTTATGTCACAGCTTTAGATCAACTTCTTCAGACAGAAAAGTGAAAAGGAGAGGACCGCCCTCACTCAGCCAATCAGCTCTCAGTCTTCTCACAATATTTTTGATAATGATAACAATAATAACAACAGCAATAATAACAATAATAATAATAATGATAATAATAATAATAATAATAATATTACTATTAATATTAATATCAATAATAATATTTTTTTTCTCTATTATTTTATTTTAATTGTAATTTCTTTAACGTCTTTGAGTTATGTTTGGTGATGACCCAGGACACTTTAACATTCTACAACATGAATGGAAATTAACCAACATTCATGGACATTTGTCTCTGCCTATGGACCAACTTATATGTGTGTGTTTTGTGTTTTAACTGTTGATTCTCTGATCTGTGTTGGTGATTTCAATGGTTTTGTTAAGTCCTCTGAGATGACTGCTGTTGTGATTTAGGGCTATACAAGAATAAGTTGTTGTTGTTTGGGCGTGTACTTTTGTGTTTTGTTTTATGTGGCGTTCTTTTTGTGTTCTTGTTTATTATTTATGTTGTTGTGTTTATGAAGAAGAAGGAGAAGAAGAAGGTCCTTTATTCGTCCCACAATGGGAAAATTTCAGTTTGATGCACACACATACACACATACATATACACATACACATACACATACACACACACATACACATACACATACACATACACACATACACATACATATATACATATACACATACACATACACATACACATACACACATACACATACATATATACATATACACATACACATACACATACACATATACATATACACATACACATACACATACACACATACACATACATATATACATATACACATACACATACACACATACATATATACATATACACATACACATACACATACACATACACACATACACATACATATATACATATACACATACACATACACATACACATACATGTATATACATATACACATACACATACACATACACATACACATACACATACACATATACATAAACAGTACATATACATATACATATACATCAATCAATCAATCAATCAACGTTTATTTATAGAGCGCCTTTCCTACACAAGGCAACGCAAAGCGCCTCACAACCCATATAACATCATGCATAAATCATCAAACATTAGAATTTAAGTAAACATAAAAAGACAGATTAAGAGCACAAGATATATAAAATCACACAAGTAGTTAAAAACCGTAAAAAATTAAAATCACACAAGGGATTACAATCATAAATAATCATAAATAATCTTAGCGCATTAAAAAGATTAAAGATAAAAACAAATGTAAAATCATTCACTTGTATGCACAGCTAAAAAGAACTGTTTTCAGTTCAGTTTTAAAAACTGCTAGAGTAGACGCCTGTCTCACACTCTCGGGAAGACGGTTCCAGACTCTAGCTGCATGAATCTGAAACGCAGCCTCCCCATGTCTAGTTCCGACTCTTGGCACTAACAGAAGTCCAGTCCCTGTGCTCCTCAGAGCCCGAGTTGGTTCATATGGCACCAACATGTCGCGGATGTACCCTGGTGCGAGGCCATGGAGAGACTTGTACACAAGTAAAGCTACTTTAAAATCTATTCTCTGAGCCACAGGAAGCCAGTGCAGAGACCTGAGGACCGGACTAATGTGGTCGTACTTCCTGGTTCTAGTCAGGACTCGAGCTGCAGCATTTTGGATGTACTGCAGCTGTTTTACATATACACATCAAGGCAAGCAGCGGACATCACTTCCACGCTCCTTATAGACAAAGTGGGTTAAGTGTTTTGCCCAAGGACACAACGGCAGCAGACATCAGTGGGAGTCGGTGGAGAAAGTCTAGTGATGGGTTTGTCTGTTATGTTGTCTTAGAAAAAAATAAAACAATAATAATACATCAAATATATGTGGCGTGTTTTGTAATGAGATGAAGTCAGATGTTGTGGTCAGATTTGTTCGCATCATTTTACTGAATTCCATCTGGTCAGGACAAACAATCATGAACAAAAGTTAGGTACCCAAGCTTTAATATAGTATGTGTGTAATGTGAAACCAATTGTAGTATCAAACATGTTTCTACTCCCTTCTGGCTGCCCCATACGCACACACACACGCCCACACACACACACACGCACACACACACACTGTCCAGTCCGGCCCTCTGTCATAATGGAGGTGTGACGTGTGCATGGCCTCCCTGTTGTGCAATCTCACAGACACACACACACACACACACACACACACACACACACACACACACGCACACTCTAGGGAGCTATAAGACCCCAAAACTCATCTGGTTTCTCATAGTCTCCAGGATTTTACGCTCATAATACCCTCCCCACACAAACAGACGGAGGGAGGCATCGCGTGGTCTGCTCTGGGATTCTCAACTACTTTTAGATTTTAGAGCAGAGAAATTGTAAAGATATGGACGAGAGCTAAAAGGACTGAGTCTGTCAGCAAACTCAAGGTAAGACTCTTGGTAAACTTTTGAAGTGTTTTGTATTGTTTAAATTGGACAAGATGGGGAACGTCCCAACAAGTTCACTTTTTTTTGACATTCCTCGAGGATCACGCTTTGAAATTTGCTTTATAATATTCAAATTCAATATGTGTGTGTGTGCCTTCCATGGTAGAACACTTTTATACTCTTATGCATTTATCCTTGCATACTTTTGTATACACTGATACACACATATCAGGCATAAGTAAACTTTATTTTTGACAGGAAGTGTGCAAACATGTTAAAGGTTAAGGTTAAAGGTATATTATGTACAAAATCAAATAATTAAAAGTTGAAATCAAAATGAAACGTGATGTATAGATAGTCTTGGACAAGTATAAAATGGTATAAAAACTGACCTCAATATGTTGTCTACATCTTCTTAAAAAACATGCTATATTATGCACACTTACACTAAACCAAACTAAACTAATAAATGTATACAATTGTTAGTGTGCATTATTCAAAAACACAGTTTCAGAGTGCCTCCTTCTCTATTTCCTCACTGTACCAATAAATGTATACTAGATGATGCTTTGGGAGCTGATTGGCTGAGCGACGCTGGTCCACTCTTTTTCACTTATCTGTCTGAAAAAGCTGATCGAACGATGAAACAGAGGCCAAAAATGAATGACGACCAAACCAGAGAGGAACTAGTTAAATGCATTTCATTAAATAGTAAACTGTTTACAATTATATTTGTATCTATACACCAGGCATTCTTCACCATCCAATGTGTTGGATACTGTCCATTGTTCTGAACAAATCAATTATATTTATCTGACAGTTATCTGATCTGTTAATGGCGAATCGATAACTTTGTAAAGTCCTCCGAGACGACTGTTGTTGTGATTTAGGGGTAAACAAACATTGATTTGAATTATAGCCTATGATGAAAGGCAGTGGTTTGGAACTGCTGCTTATGAGAGTTTAAACCAGGCTCATGTTACTCAATTGTCTGGGATTGACTTGCACATTATTAGTATGCATATGCAGTAATTATAAGATAAGATACACTTCATTGATCTCACAATGGATACATTCACAAAATTATGCCAAAAAGTGACAGTCATCATTACTGTTTCCATATTTTGCTTGATTTTATGTCAGGGTTAAAATTCCAAGTTGTTATCGTTGTAGTAGCTGTGGCACTTATGGAAGTAGTAGGAGGTTAAGTTTCTATATGTTCTTTAAAAGGTCTTCTATAGGGCTCTGACTCCGCTTTAATATGAGATTAAAAGTACCAGAGAAACTTTCCAAGTGAAATAAATCACATATCTAATCACAACAAGGCTACAAATAATCTTCTTTCTATCTACCCACGAAACAGGTTTAGCTGCTATGTACATTTAATTGCATTAGAGAGACATGATGTAGAGCATGAACAGAATGAATGTTGTCACTTGACACATTGTACGGCTGATGTAAAGAGACTTGTTGAATTCATGGAGATGGATCGTCGCATGCTGCAAACGTGGGAGTGCGTGCGCCGTCAACATCTGTCCGAGTACGACCTAACTCGCCATGCTGTAATGTATTTTTCCTGAGATCCGTTATCGCCTGTGACAGCTGACAAAACCATGAGGCAAAACATTTAAAGTGGCTGGTGTAAAAGTCTCCTTAAAAGGTAAACTAATGTCAAATGCTTCTGTTTTATTCCCTAGGCCTGAACCCGGATCGCGTGGACCAATTTGACATCAACTGCCGTCATGGAAAACCAAAACAGCTTCTTTAACTCTACAGTTCTACCAAATACCTCTGCGACTCCCCCTGCTCCCAATTGTGAAGACTGGAGCCATATTGACATGTCCACACTCATCCCCACCATTTACAGCATTATCACTATTTTCGGCACCGTCGGCAACGTGTTAGCCATTAGCGTGTTGGCGCATTCCAGTACGTCAAAGAGCGTGGCCAATACTTTCATGGTAAACCTGTGCATAGCCGATCTGCTTTTCCTGCTAGCCCTGCCGCTATGGGCCGTCTCCTACTCCCAACATTACAACTGGACCTTCGGGCGTGTGACTTGCAAAATCAGCAGCGCTCTCCTCAATTTCAACCTCTACGCGTCAATTTTCTTCATAATGTGCATGAGTATAGACAGGTATCTCGCCATCGTGCACCCTCTGAGGTCCCTGAGCGCCCGCGAGCCAAAGATTGCAATACTCTCCTGCATTTTCATATGGATATTGGCTTGCCTCTGCTCCGCTCCGTACTTGGCTTTGCGCGACATCCACGCCTTCCCGGAGGACGGCATCGAAGTCTGCGGGATCAAGTACCCAAACGATGACTGGTTCTTCGCCTTGGCCTGGATGAAGTTAATAGTAGGGTTCGTCGTCCCTTTGATTGTTATCTGCTGCTGCTACTACGTCATCGGCAGACATTTGCTCACAGACACAGGCCTGGTCAGAATGCAAAGCGCGTCGCATGCCGTGAAAAAATGCACGGAATCCAAAGAGCAAAACGGCAGATTTGAACGACCACCGACCCCTAGCCCTCACCCCAGGTCAGGGAAAAGCAAGCTGCAGGAGGGGAGAGGGATACAAAGAGTCTTATGGACGGTAGCGGCAGTAGTGATTGCGTTTTTCCTTTGTTGGTTCCCCTTTCATTGCGTGACCATGTTGGATATCGGAAAATCCTACGGGTGGTTGGAGGGGTGTTGGGTGGATTGGACCATTCGGAATCTGACGCCGATCACTCTCTGTTTGGGGTTCTCCAATTCGGCGATCAATCCGTTGCTCTACTGTTTCATCGGACATCATTTCAGAGGAAGGCTGGGCGGGATTTGCAAGGGCCTGTGTGCGTGTGTGAAAGCCAGAGGAGAGGAGCATTCCAACCAGAAGAGAGGCTCCTTCAGCACCAGGTTGAGTTCGTTTTCCAGGAAACTCAGCGATCTCAAAGACCTGGCCATCGCCGAGAGCTCTCATCCGGCTTGAAGAGGAAATAACTCAAACCGATTTGCTTCCATGACATGTAAACTAGACAAAAATGTGAAGCTTTTTTGACAATGTACGAATAAATTGTTTGAACATGTTGTATTGATGAGTTGCAATAATGTAAATATGAATATAACGTTTTATTACCTTTGATAAAGCTGTATTGTTGTGTTGCAGTTTGCTTATACCAGCGTTTTTCAACCTGTGGGCCGTGGCATGTTAGTGTGCCTTGAGATATTGTTTGATGTGCCCTTTTGGAAATTATCCAATATCACCTCATAGGTCAAAATAATGTGAAAAGAAAATATTGTGAGATGATTAGAAATACTTGTTTTGCTTAATTACTTAAGCTCATACTGTATGTGTTTATAAGTTTTGTTCAAAATCTTAAGTCAAGTTAAGATGTGATAATAAAAAAAGACTTGAAAAACTATTTGTCATGTTTGTCCCATCATGAGGCTGGTGTTAAATGGGGTCTTCGGTTCACTTAAGAGCTCACTTAAGGACACAGACCAACACAATCTGTGTAAATACAAAATGCTGATTTTTTTCCTCCAAGCTCAAACATTTTCTGTTGGGGGTTCGACATGTTCTACTTTACTGACACAAGAAAGTAATGTATCTTAGTTAATTTGGGATTACTTTAGAAATGATTTTATTTTATGTTTTATTAACACTAGCACTCCCAGAGATACAAGAACACCTATTTTAACTAGTCCCGTTCAAACCAGAAGAATAATGAGTAATACGTTTTTCAACTAACTTAGGTTTTTAGCTTTTTAAAAAAAACAGCTAATTTCTGACTGCAAACAGTATATTGCTCTGGTAACTAGCACTTGATATTCTCTTAGTTAAAGCATGAACCACTCACATTTGAAAATGAATAATTATATGACAAAAATGTATCATACAGATACAGAAAAAGTCACAAAGTTATGAAGACCACGTGAGTATTTAAACCTCCAAAACTAAAAGCTGTCAATATGACTGCTCTGGGAGTTTCAGTGTCAAACATTTTATATGTGGTTAACACTGAGTTGTTAAACGGCTAAAATGACTGCATGTGGTCTGATGACAACAGAAGTCAAGTCTATGTTTTTTTTCCATTTCAAATCTGGCTGAGATTGTATTGTATTGTATTGTATGTACTTTATTTGAACAGGGACAGTGTACAGTTAAGCATTAACACAAAAGGAGAGATGCATGTACCAGGTTATAGCAGAGATGCTAATTTCCACCTGTAGTCCCTGGGCAGGCTGGTGTTATATTCAATTGACCAATAGATTGACCAATAAATCTAATAAGTATGTTGTTGGTACTGTAACCGTGACAGATTTCATGTATTTTCAAAGTATTAACTTAAAATTAAATCTAATCACAGTGATATATTTATGACTGAGCTATAATCACTGCAAACTAAACTACTATGTGTTTATTAAACACTAGATGCTAAATGTTGTTATTTTTGAATTATGCTGTCCTTACGGTGGAGTTTCAGCAATAAAAACCCTTTTCAGACCCTCCCACTCAAAAGTGCATAGTGTTTGTATGTGACATTGTCAAAGTAGTAAAATCTGACAAAATCACCAGCACCACCATCTTATGTATTTTCCAAATATCCTCATTAATAAAAAAAGATAAATCAAAAAGCCTATTTGGATTGCACATGTGTTTTAATCCATGCATAGTCCACCACCAGAAAATAATGATAAATGGGGATGAATGGGGTTTAAATGGGGATGCTCAAGAGAAAATCAAAGCGATCTGAAAGTAGATTCCACCAGAGATGAAGTTTCAAGTCTGTACAATGTTTATCAGACAAGTGCATGTTAATTGGAGAAAATGGCCTGTTATTACTGGAGGTTATCTGTGGGACTGCCCTGGTGACCTGACTTCACCCTGTTATGGTTAATGCGTCTGCGCCTGTTCAAATTGTTCACATTTCTGGAGAAAGGGAATCCATCCGTCGTCAGTACATTCCTCTGCCCAGCTGTACCTCTCCCCAGCTGGGACATGACCAGTCTCACTGAGATTCAGATTCAGATTCAGTTTTATTTGCCATTTGCAGTAAAAAACCCCACATTGGAATACATTAGCAAAAAGTCTCCAGTGTGCACAGACAAATACAGACATAAAACAACATTAAAAGACAAAGAATAAAACAGTAAATAAATGTCACTGTGAAATCGATCGACTAAAACAGTTTCAAAACAAGTGCAAATCATTAAAGTGCTCTGTTCACACTGATAACAGCTTGTGGAGAAAAACTGTTAGAGTAACGAGATGTCCTGCATCTCAGAGAGCGATATCTTCTGCCAGAGGGAAGAAGCTGGAACATGGCTTTCCCAGGGTGGCCAGAAGAGTCATTAACAATCCTAAGAGCTTGGTTTAAAAGTCTGGATTTAAAAAGAACCTCCAGAACAGGAAGCTCACAGCCCACGGTCCTCTTTGCAGAGCGGAGCACCTTGTTTAAAGCTCTCTTTTCTTTATCTTTGATGTTTCCAAACCACACAGACACAGAACCAACAAGTAAACTCTCAATGGTGCAGCCATAAAAGTTAAGCAGAATCTTAGAGTTAGTGGTAAATTCTCTAAGTTTACGCAGAAAGTAGAGACGCTGACGAGCTTTCTTAACGACCCGGTCAGTGTTTTTAACCCATTTCAGGTCATTAGACAGAGTTAGACCCAGAAACTTGCACTCCTCTACAATCTGCACCTGGGAGTTGTCGATTACGACAGGCAAATGAGAACTATTGCGACTGAAGTCATAGACCAGTTCACATGTTTTCGATGCGTTCAACTGGAGGTTGTTAGTTTTACTCCACTGAACCACATTTTGTATCTCTGCTCTATAAGAGGATTCATCATTGTCACTGATGAGACCGATGATGGTGGTGTCATCAGCATATTTGATGATCAAGTTTGAGTCAGAGGAGGACACACAATCGTGAGTGTACAAAGTAAAAAGCAAAGGACTCAAAATACATCCCTGAGGAGATCCAGTGCTCACAGAAACAACATCAGAAAAACAGTCATTGATTTTCACTCTCTGAGATCTGTCAGTTAAAAAGCTAACAATCCATTTTAGGGCAACACTTAAACCGAGAGACATGAGCTTTTCAATCAGTTTACCTGGGACAAGGCAGTCCCAGGTAACAATGCAGAGACATACTTTGCAAAGAGAAAGAAAAAAAAACATCTGGAACTATACAGCACCTTTCCCAAAAGTCCGTGGGCCTCAATGACATCAGCCAATCAGAGAAACATTTAGTGTTATTCTCAACACAAGCAGAGAGGGACAACATGATGCGGTGCATGAGTGTGAGTGTGATGAAGAAAGAAAGAAAGTAAAAGTGTTCAATATTCATGATTCAAGATCCTTTGTTATTGTCACTATCACAAGAAATAACTAAATTACAAGTAACACAATAATAAATACTGTTTATGGATACATCAAAAATACTTTTACATTGTGAAACTCTGTAACAATGTGCTTTAAATGTGTATTATCTTCGACCAATGATTGTTATCTCAAATAGTGTGAAATACTATGTTTCTGGGTAACTATTATTTGACTATTCATGTTGTTTGGATAAATTGCCCAAATCAAACATAATAAATACTGTTGCTGTGACCCTTCACTGTCCTGTCACTTTGACTTCAGACAATCCCCTCCTCCTCCACTAGATGGTGCTGTGGCTCCACAGATACAGAGGGGGCAGTGTTGACGCGACAGCGGGCGCACACGGCGCACACACGGATCATCCTGTTCTCTCTGTTCTCACAGTCAAACACATTCTCATTAAATTCATGGTTTCATTTGCTAAATGCAGGTACCCAACAATTACAGCCATCAACGTGAAGAGCCAGGATTAAAGGAAACAGTCTGAGAAGAAACCATCTGCTCATACAGTTAGTATTTTTGTTCACTTAAATGGGATTCTACCATTGACTTGAGGATTATTACTATAATTTTTCCATATTGAGTAATGAGAGCATGTATATGTCCTTATGGTGGAGTTTCAGCAATAAATGTGAATGGTTAATGGAGTAATGAGCAGCTACTGCTCTAAACAAACCAGGATTTTTATGAGACTAATTTTTAACTGTAATTGCATTGAACTTTATCTGAGCACCGGGAGAAACCCCACACATTTGTTTATATTCAAGAACTTTCATTTGAAAATGTGCAAGTTAAAAAAACAATATATGTATATGTGTGTGTGTAGATCAGTGATATTCAGTGGACATGATAAAAAAAGCCTTAAAAAAACAATTGTTTTTTTTAAGGGTGGTGGAGTAGAAAAGGGGCGACCGTAGCTCAGTTGGTAGAGCATTGGCCTTAAGCCCAGAAGGTCGTGGGTTCATTTCCCACCTCTGCACCTTCTCCACCGACTCCCACTGATGACTGCTGTCGTTGTGTCCTTGGGCAAGACACTTGACCCCACTTTGCCCAAGGCCCCCGCTGAGAGATCAGGGCTATGCTCACACTTAGAGCAGCCGTCCTCCTGTGGACTCACCACCTGCAGAGGGTCAGTGAGGGGCTGGTGCTATGAGACTTGGGTGGCATCTCTGATTGCCACCCCCCTGACCCAGAAATGGATTAAAGGGTAGAAAATGGATGGATGGATGGATGGAGTAGAAAAAACAAATTCTATCTATTTGTGATTAAGAATAATATTCCTCAGAATAATATATCATAGCGTTTCATGTTCTCTGTCACTTTTGATAAAAATGTATGTTCTTCATCAATAACTGAATGTATCCAAAACGAGCCCACCTGTGTTTTTGCAAAGCAGGTGCCAGACCAGAAACTCAGTCAGATGTAATAAATGAAAAAAGTTTTATTCAGCTTCATGCCTCTCAACTAAACTTTATTTCTTTTTCACTCGACCGTTTTTGACAGCAGCATTTTGAGCGCGGTGTGATGCCGACATTAAAACGTTGAGTCTCTCCTGACAGACGAGCGGCCTGCACCAGACGCTGCACCATCCGCTTTCACACAACTGCTCAACATTGGAATCGGCACATCTCTAATGTGACACCGCGACTGGGCGACTGACGGCAGGCTGTGGAGGCGCTTGTTGTGGCTGCAGAGCTCTGTCATTAGCCGGATCCCACTAAGCAGGTGCGAAGACTTTAGAGATGTTTTTCTCACACGCTTTTCTGACACAGGCAGAAGGACATGTGGTTTTGATGAGCCCAGTAGTCTGTGTCTGTGTGGTGAGGAGCCATGCATGACCCGCACAACTATCATTTTTGTATCAATGTGAGACTTCAGAGTGTGCATGAGGTCCGGTCTTAACTCATTGAATGCCAGCCTATTTCAGAAAAGGTACTCCCACAGTGCCAGCCATTTATGATGATTTTTACTGATTTTTCAAGACCCACAGAATATTGTGTACTATGACTATCTGAAATCCGACACCGACTGTCTACTTTCCTCAGCAAAAAGAATTTTGTTTATAGCTTTTTTCGTTCCCCTGTAATCCTCCGTTGAGTAGAGGGAAGTTTTACTGAAATCACCAGAAATCACCAGAAAGTTGAGAAAAAAGAGGCACAACATGTGCACCTACATGTTTTCAAACCATTCAGAGAGCAATGCTGCCACCTGCTGGCTCGATAAAATATGGTCTCAAGTCATCCCCATACATATTAGATACAATAGACATCTGGGAACGTGAAAATAGCGAAAAAGGCATTTGACGTATTTGTGCGTCAATGGGACACAATGAGTGGTTAAAAGCATTGCATACAATTTAAAACGTACAGTTTGAATTATTTTTGTGCCTTACTTTTTCGACTATAAGGTTCACCTGTATATAAGCCGCATCACCTAAATGTTAAAGTAGCAATATGTAAGATTGTCATGTCAAGTCATCAATAAATGGCCCTAATGTGTCAAAAGGCATTAATAAACCATGCTCTTTTTGAATACTTCTTTAACTGATAACAGTAGTTTAGCCGAGATACAGTATTTTAATTTCAAAATTGGTTTTACAGCCCCTGAATTAAAAGTTATTGTTTTCATTTCCATGTCCCGCCCTCCACCGTTTTACCAATCAGAAAGTCTGTGCTCCGGGTTGCCAGAACTCACCACGTCGAGCTAATCTCACTGGTAAAGAAACAGAACTAAAAGCAGCAGAACTAAAAAAGGTCTCGTTATCATTTATAACAAAACAAGGAATAAAACCAGAATTTCTATCGGGGTCTTTGTGAAAAAAATGTTTGTTATAGATTTGCTGTTGACTTGTCTATTCAATTATTATGGTCCCAGCTGGATTCGTCTGCATATCTGGCAACCTGAGTCAGGGATAGTGGGAGAGGTTGCAGTACCACTTTTGCCCAGATTTCTGCATACTGCTACTTTAAATTAAAATCCATTTTGTCCACATACATACGCACTTGAATAAAAGCCACAGGTTTTCATGTTGTAATGTAGCAGATAGAGGAATGTTGAAACTGGCCACAACATGATTTAACGACGATGTGTTAAAAAGCTTCCATACCTGCACTCATTTGCCTTCTTCATCTTTTTTTTTTGAACAATAAACAAGTGTCCTTTAGCTTCTTTATCTGGTCAAAAAAATAAGTCCATTAACTCTGCTATAAGCCACTGGATTTATTTAACTAGAAAAAAGTGGCGATTTATTGTCTAGAAATTATAATAATATAGATTCAAGTATTGACTCTCACAAATAAATACTCCTTCTTTAAAAATATCTGAACATTGTAAAGCACTTTGGGTGACCTTTGTCGGTAAAATATGCTATATAAATAATGATTACTTACTTTCTTACCTTTTATTTTATTCATTAGCCAGAAAAAGTCCCACGGATCGGGAGGAAATCTATATGCAGACACAGGGAGAACATGCAAACTGCACTCCGAAAGGCCCTGTGCTGCCTGTTGGTCGAATCCATAGCTTTCATACCGCTCAGCCACCCACCTAGAACAAGTTACATACTGTATATACTTTTGAAAAACAGATACAAATCTTATATCATAGAAAGAGGGGGCGAGGTGGATTCAAACAGTTTTCTTAAGCGATATTTCAAAAACAATTCTTTAGCGTAGAACAAACTGGTGTAGGTGGATGTGCTGTAAAGAATGTTTTGAGGCTGGAGTGGAGACATTTATTCACCATCAACTCAGAACAGGACCTAAAGAGACTTCCACTTCCTAATGTATTTTGTTTTAGAATATTCTCTACAAGCCTGTGTTTTCTGTGTTTACATCAATAACTTTTGGAAAGGCAATGAGCCAAATGAAACTCAAGTAACACAGTAATTGGCGATAACAAAGCATAAGTGTGTGTGAATACAGAGATGGGACTTCATTGCGAAACTGTTTTTCTCAACTTTTTTCCACCGTTGCAGACAGATTCACTGTTTTTGTGAAGCTACTTCCTGTCAAAAAAAAATTAATTTGAGATGCACAGCCCACATTTGAGGTGTGAAAACCTATACACGTGTGCAAAACACTACAAAAAGAAGGAAGCATGAGGTTGATGGGTCAGAACGTCTGAGGGAAGCAAAGAATTTGTTTTCAGTTTCACAAAGACGACCAAAAAGAACAACAGATCTATCAAACAGAGAAGGAATAAGGGTGAAGTTTGATGGCTTCTGGACCTCTGGGTGAAATGGAGGGTCTGGCTGTATATCACGGGGCGATTGGGATGGAGGAGGGAGAGCGGAGGCTGGGGCAGGACGGACGTGACGGTTGCTACTTGGTCCGAACCAGTGACACCGTGCCTGGGTCATTCTGCCTCTGTGTGCTGTGAGTAACAACATTAAACCAGTTTGTATCACTGTGTTGTCTTCAGTGGTGTGTTGTGTTGTCCAATACAGAGTGAGGTGTAGTTCACAAGAAAAAGTAGTTATTTCTCTGGATAAAATTACAGAAAATGACACATACAAAAAATCTCTAATATAATTTTTTGTGCACTTGGACAGTCTTAAAACACAATTTGTCAAAGGTACAAGCAGTTCAAGAGCAGTTGCAATTTCTTTCCAAGAGATAATTTTCTTGTTTCTTTAAATAACAACACATTTTTGCTTGTCCCATTGTCAAATCTTGTTTTAAAGGTGACCATATGACCCTATTGTATAATGTATAAAACATTATAATAAAACCATAAGCATCACCAGTGACATTTGCTGGAGGAGAATAGTCAGAGCGATGGGAGAGGCCTGAGCTGTCAATCAGCCATCGGAGTTACAGTAATTGCCTCCAATCTTTCCAATTTACGGTTGAAGCAAATTACAATACATATCACTAAATTAAAGCAATGTTTGACCAAATGCTATACTGCGATTATAGTTTTTATACATTCAATATTTTGAAGACTTTTCCTCATCAAGATGTAAGCATAACATGTAGCTTTAAAAATCACAGCTCTCATATCTCAAACCATGAAAAGGCAAGATTTAGTTTAATTATTTTTATCATTTTATAAATTAGGGGCCACCGTCTTATTTCCAATGAGAATGCTTAATTATGTATTTCCAGGCAAAAACTACTTACATGAACAGTTGTACAGAAACAGGCCACAAAACCAAATTGTGTCATGTTCAACACCACATTTCCTGTAACTATACTATCAAAAGATTTTATTTATTTTGTTCAAAAAAGTGCAACAATGAAAAGTAAATAAAAAAGAGGCTGCAATTCTCTTTATGATATGGTTCAATCGGTCCCAATAAGTCCATAATGACCGTTAGACCAGGAGCCACAGCTGCTCACCACCCCCCACTGAGATTCCCGGTTATCTACTCAAGGGATTTAGAAATAATCAGTGATAATATGCTGGCAAAATGAAAAGTTATGATTCACACACTCAGATATACAGTTTGGAAATACATAGTTTAATTGTGTGCACTAATACAATATTAAAATTATAAATATTTGTTCACCATATTACTGAGATAGTTCCTAGGTTATTTTGTCCAGATAAAACAGCTCTCTGGGGGAGAGCTGGATATACAGGTCAAAATGTAAATATTTATAAAAAGTCAATTTACATTTGTAATTCAACTTGCAATGTGAAACTCAAATACGGCAAACACAAGTAGATTTATCAAGCATTTATTTGTTAAAATGTTGATAATTGGCTCACAGCTGGTAAAAAAAAAAAAACAATTAAAGGATCCCAGAAAATTTGAAAATGAATCAATATTGACAATGGACTGTAAGCCATGATCATCAAAACTATTAACCTTTTTAGATGTTTTAAGATGTAGGATAACAAATAACAAAAATGATTCGTTTTTGTGTTTTTTTCGGGTTTTTTTTTTATCCGTAGGTAAGTGCTTAATACCAAGTGAAATGCCCGGGGAGGTATAGATTTCAGTTCCTTTCACACAGTGCGACTCAAAAAGTGATCCAACAAATGTTTTTTTAGGAAACCATTACAGGGTTAAAGATTCTCATTTGTCACTTTGAGTCATCAACATCATGTATTAGTTTCACATGTTAAATTAATTTGCAGAAATACATGAACTTCAAACACATTTTTTGAACTCCATAATGTCTTGGTTGTTTTGTGCTATTAAAAATCCTTCAGTCCTCTCTCTATTTTTTTCCTCACATCGATAGAACGATGACACAACATGTCCTTGCTGCTGTTTTTCCTTCCTTTCAGTGTGTATTGATCTGCCTTGGTCACTGTGTTGTGTCCGGTTTGAAAGGCCCTGGCGTCTCTTGCAGGTTCGGAGGATTCGTCTACACCTACAGGCTGCACAGGGACAGCCACGGCTCATGGACAGCAGAAGTGAGAGGCTTTATCTATTAACCTAAGTCACCTTTTTCACCTCCTACAACTTCACAACACTTTCACAGCACACTCTTATTTACTCTTTTTGTTTTCGACTGGGCGCTGAACTCAAGGCCGCGGCCGAGACACAGCGGCTCACTTTTCTGAGGAGAGCTGATGCTGCTGCAGAGCTAGTTCAATGTTAAAAAGCTAATCATGATTTTTATTCTTCTCTTGAGAGGAGAGATGTGTCAAAAGTACTGGGCAGAAGTAAACGTATCCAAATCTTTTTCTTACATAAAGCTGGGGTACCAAACTTTCTTTGTTTCATAAGTGGTTAGCCTTCTAGCATGTTAATAGGAATACCAATGTTGTTGTATGTTGCTATAAGGCAAATACACATAATAGGATAAGATAAGATACACTTTATCGATCTCACACTGGAAAAATGTACATGTTACAAATACTTTCACTACTAAAATAAATAAACAAATAAATTATTCGGTTTGTCCCCAAGAAAAGTGAACAAAACAAATCACAACATGCTCTCTTCCTCTTATTAGAAAACATCTGTGAGACGCTATTTCACGCTTTGGGTTTAGAGCTAATAATGACTTATCACTTCTCTGTCTGATAAAGCAGAAATGTCAAAACATATATCGGAGGCCAAAATTATTTGCATGAAAAAGTCTGGTTTGAAGGCCGGGAACTATGGTTAAATGGATTGTATTTGATCACGTATGTATTTTTATTATGACACATTTGCTGCATTGATGCCATGACTGCCATGGCATGTTATACCTCATTTTAATATATGTTAACATTTGAACCCAACTAATAATTAAATATAGTTCAAGTCCAAACGAGCAGTAACCAAAATAATTTTGTACAGAACAACAATACCAGAAAAAAATCCGTAAAATGCTATATAATTAAAAAATGTGTCTATGCAGTTAAATACATTTAAGGTTGATTATTTTCCCATCATAGATTGTCAAAATAATAATAATAAACTGACTTATCGGTGGCGCAGTGGTTAGAACTACTCACTCTCTGTAGAATGTCCTAGCTTGACAACGCCCTTCAGTGTGGAGTTTGCATGTTCTCCCTGTGCCTGTATATATGTTTCCCTAATAAAAACCTTTAGGACTGGTTGGTGATGGTTGGACGATCATGTGAGGAGTGAATAGAAGACAAACCAACAACAGTAAAGTGCTTTGTGCATCCGTGGTCTGTGAAATGTGCTCTATAGCTGACATGACGTATAAATCTCACAAATATCAAGTACGCGATATAAGGGAAACGGGCTTGAACCACACAAAAAAATAATAGTTTTTTTTTTTCGCTTTAGTGGCTGTCACAGGAAACGAGTGCAGCTTTAACAGAAATACAAGCATCCCATCTGATAGTGTTTCTTCTGGGAGATATAGCCCACGCTCTGCAAACACCTCAAGATCTGAACTTATGGAGACATTCAAAAGCTATATGTCTCCCTTGACAACCAGCTACATCTTGTTTTCAGCGCCACTCATCTGCACTAGCGGCTTCAAGAGGACCCTTTTCAAATACGCATTTTTACTCAATAACACTTTACATTATTCATGAACGACTTGAGTCACTGTAATGAAATATTTCAGCGAGGAGGTGGTAACATGGTAAGGGAAAAGACATGCCGTGATGAAATGGTTTACAAACATACTCAAACCACATTTAGTTTGGCTGATAGGATAGACACTGGAAGTAATACATTGGTTTTAGAGGCTGCTTGTATAAAAAGTCCCCGCTTGGCAAATGCTAAAGTCATTTTGCTGTTTGATAGACAGTCACAAATGTCCCGAGAGCGAGGAAATGGGCTCAAACTTGATTCAAACTGTGATTCTCCCTGTGCAGAGTCTGTGCATTTGGTTACTTAAGTGAAACACACCTCATATTACTGTAAATTGAAAATACATCTAATATCATGCTACTGAGTTAAAAAATTCCCAAATTCCCAATTGTCTACGGCTGCCCCCTGCTCTCTCTTTCCTCTGCTTGGATTGGCCAGCCCTGAATGTGGAATGTGGTTTAAGGGCATTTCTAAAACGGCGCTAACATGTCTCCGAGGGTGCGTTCACACTTGTTGATCTTATACACTTTAACTGGATCAATTGTGGTTCACTGGGGGCCAACACTTGTTCATTTGTGGATGTTAAACCACCAAACATGTGAAGATGTGTGTCCACTCGTCACTTAAGTCAGTTTAGATCTCATGAACCAAATCTGTGAAGTATTTTTTCTGCAATTGACCCAGACGTGGTCCTGTTCAAGAGTAATGTGTGGCATGTACAGTATTTAGGCATAGTAGTATTTATGCTTTTTCGATTCATGAAAAAATAAATGTTCAACAAAATGCGAACAAATCAGAACAGAGGATACCATCTTTTGCACACTTATAAGAAAGTGCCCAGTGATTCAGAATGTGAAGATTTAGGCCTCGTTTCTATGGAGATGCTGCGAAGCAATGCGCAAAAATAAACAATCCAGATTTGAAGTGCCAAGCGCCACACGGCAATGGAATACAATGTGGTTCTAGCGCACAGCCAGTAGTGAGAGTGGAACACTAACACGGCACACACGACCCCCACCAGTATACCCACTTCCTCAACAACTTCCTCCTTGGGCCACCGCAAACAGGAGGAAGAATGCCCCAACGTCATTCTGCATTTAACAACAGCAGCGGAAATGGAAACTGAAACTACAGCTTTGCGTGGGTTTGTTTGGATGGAAAAAGGAAAAGAACGGCTGCTACTGTTGTTTACGTTTGTTCTGGGCTACTGCGCATGTCCAAATGTACGTGAGAAGGGAAGCGTGGGGTCATTGTAGCCACAGATTTCACACCTTTTTCTTCACACAGCTGTGAAACTGCCCCCTGGCACGCAGTGTGTCTGTTCTGTTCCACTCTAGAGGCTGTTTCTCAGTGCTTATGTTTTCACCCCCTGGAAACACCGTTGCCATGTGAACGAAAGGCCAATCCGAAACCCAGCTCTATAATGTTGCTGTTGGCGTCTCTGTGTAAACGGGATCTTAGGCTGAGAGCTGATTGGTTGAATGAGGGTGCACCTCATCTTTTTCACCTTTCATGCTCAAAGGCGCAAAAATATGCTGAGGCTGAAAGCATAATCCTATAAAAACTAGTGATATAGAACCAACCTGTTTTGAGAGCTATAGAACTTCATTTCCTATCTTTTGTGGTTAGAAAGGGAGGTTCCCCAGTGTTCACTGTAATTACTGTGTTCAGGTGAACAGGATGCTTATCCTTTTGTCAGGGACCAGGTCTGCAAATCAGCCTCTGGCTTGATGGCCTATGGACATGGCATCTGTTATAATGTAGCAATGTTCTTGGTTCTTTCCTTTCCTAATAAACTAATACATAAATACATATATTTTTGTTCACTTGCTCCAGATACTACTGAATCAATTTGGTGTAAAAGGTGTTAACAAACTGCAATTTAAGCTTTTATGCGTCAACCACAATTACTGTGTAAATTGGACAAGCTTTGACCGTGCTGTTTACAATACGCTAATGGTTTTGTAATGACTTAAGTCTGACGTGTTTCCCATGTCCAACCAGGAAGAGCAATTCCTAAGCCTAATCAAAATGGAGGTAAAAAGGTATAAAGAATATTGTATTGTTTTGTTTTGATTAAATTACTGGATAAGCTGTCAAATGCAATTTCAGTTTCTGATTAAAATATCACAACTCTGACTGTTTAAAAATCAGTTTTATTCAAAAGAAACACAGCACCCACTTTAAAGCTATATCCATTAGTGACTTGAAACAAACTCTTGACTTGAAACTGACGCCTGTAATGATGTTGACTTTCTCTGGACTTTTTCCCTAAATGGCAAAAGTGCAGTGACATATTTTCGCACTTGTCTGGCGTAATGAGGAGAAATGGCCTCGGAGAAGATGCATCAGACTTAAATACGTCATTTATTTTTCATCTGTCACTTTTGAAGCCTTGGCTATTCAATTTCACACATCACAAGTAAATCCTAAAATATGAGCTTTCGTGCGCAGACTAACAATTATTTTTTTAGAATCCCCATGAGAGATAGATAGAAAGAGAACGTGGGGGAATACAAGACAGGATAGGTTGGCAGAAATTTCCACAGCTTTCCCAATTTAGACGCTCCAAACCCTTGAGGACGTTTCCTATCTAAAAAACCATTGTGGACAAATAAAAGCGGGCTTCCTTTTGCGCATTATGCCATCTTGTCTCCGTCTGGCTCACTCAACCAGATGCCATATAAAAATATAATTGACACCATTCCACGCTTTGCTCAATGCACTATTCATGGCATGTGTTCTTCTTCATTCTACCGTGTCTGTGATCTTTTTATGAGGTGAATCAGCTCGTTTCGGCGCCTCTTCTCTCCTGTCTCCTCCGTTCATTTCCCCGGGGACGTTGATGTGGCGATGGAGACAGAGACACGCTTCATCCAAGTCTTTTGTGTTTTGTCAGACCCCTCCCAGTCATGGCGCAAAAGCTTCGAAACCTTTGCAATGTTTGATGAGCACGATTTGTAGTTTTGTGTGGATTCTATTTTTTATAAATATATGTTCTCAAGGGTAGGCTTTACCTGTGAGACTGCAGTGATTCTCAGCTGCAACTGTGGCAGGACCATGGATCTATAATAATATCTGAATAGGGTAATACTGGCTTACAGCTGTCTCACCAATGGGCACAGGGGGCGTCCGCGGTACTGCAGACTAAATTCATGCGGGCCAGAAACCTTTCCCATACAACTCAATGTATACTTAAACAGCTCGACCTCAGCTGACAGACCTACCAGTCGAGAACCACTGTGTAAGAGGCTGGAATCTATTGTCAAATGTCCACAATGCATACATACATGTTTTTTGACAAATGTAAGTTATTGTTAAAAACAGAAAACTCAGATTCACTCTTGCATCATATGTGTTAAATTGTTCAAACTCGGGCATGAAGCGCAACCATTATTAATCAAAAGAATTTCAGTTGTAATATTGATCTCAGGTTTTTATGGCTCCCAAACAATCAAGTTCAAATTTTGGGATCTCTTTCAAAAATAGCTGGGCTCAAAGAGTTATTTAGAGCTCTTGTCTTTCATCATACGATAAAAGTGAACCGTTATCATCTCAATTTCTAGACAGGGAAAGTGAGACCAGACAATTTATTGAGCAGGTAAACCTTCAGGAGAATAATATGATGTCACAGCTCACTGCCCAGGTTTTTCACATTGATCTATAACACTCCACACATCTGATCCCAGGGTGAAAAAACCTGGCCTCAGTCCTTTACCACACCTCTAAAATCTCATTAGCACACCCATTTCAAACACAAAATAAAGATTAAAGCTGGGGTCACTTTTTTCCCTTTTATTTATTGGTTCCAACAAAAAGATTCTTGTAAAAGTAAAGACAACACGTGGTCCTAATGACAAAAGAAAATGTATTATCTTATGATTCTGCGAGACACTATTTGACGCTTTAGAGGAGATGTCTGTACGGCCTACAATTGAATCCAATAAATTATTCTCGACTTACTTGAAAAATAAGAAATTATTGGGAATGTCAATAGGCATTACCCCTTTATCAAGCAAATATCATGATATAATGTATTTGCTTGAGGAAGGTGTAACGCCCAAACATTGCATTCCCAAGACGGTGTGCCGGAATAAGTCTTTAGATGAAGTTTAGCAAAAGATGTAGTAGAGACCATGTGAAAACTAGGGATCGAACGAAACATTTGAGAGTGAGTAACTAGTGCCATGTACAGTATATTTATTACATACTTCTGTGATATGACCCCAGCTTTAAAAGAGTGTTTGTCAATGATGAAAACTATTAGTGTAACTTTCTCTTGTTCTTCCAGACCACTCCCGGTGTGCAGAAGAGATATTTCCGCCACATTAAAAGCCTGATCAGTGCCTTCCAGAAGCCGATGCAGGGACTGGCCATACCCCTGCTGTTCCCGGTGACTACGGACACACCTGCTGATGCTGGGGCCACTTTTAAATTCACACGACCACACCTCAAACCTTCCTCTTCAACACCAGCTGGGCTCTGAAGACACACAGAGCATGTGGGGATGCCTGGAGTAGAGACAGAATTAAGTCTTTCAACCTCAATATGAACATTATTCTTCATTCAGTGTTGTTTTGACCTTTAATCTCAGCTGCTGCTGTGTTGTAATATATTGTTTGCTGTGGTCATTATCGCTTAAAGAATATTTTCAAGACCATCACAATTATGAGACTAATTTTAGAATGTGAAATAATGTATTACATAGAACATAATGGTGACATACTGTAAGTAAGAAGGATAAAAATGCTTTCCATCTGTAACTTAATTTGTTTTTTTCCAGATCTGAAAATTACCAGCTAAGAAATTTCCAACATTAATTTAGTGTGATTTCATGTTGGTTCAATGACATTACATTATTACAGGACTGAGACAAGAGAATTCGTGCAAGAAGTTCCAAATTATCATGGATGGATCTAAAAACATTGTTGTAAGATGGTCTAACTATCTGCATGAACTTGCTTGGACAGTTTGATTGGCAAGATAGGACAAACACCTTAAAACAAATTAAAATAACACATACATGGCAGATTTGAACGTTTATACCTTCAACTATTTTCTATTATTGTGCTTTGGAAAGTACCTGTACAAATCTGTGTTTTCCTTCTCTCTATAGAGGATGAGCTTTAGCCTGTATCCATCTACTTATACTATTACCGTGATATCCACTTTCTCATGAAGCACTGCTGTAAATGAGAATATTCTGCTAATGCCTGGAAAATGCATCTCTCCTTTTGCCTAATGTTGTAGACTGAAAAGTAGAAATTATATAATACGTTATAGTCAATGGAAACACCCTCTTCAACCACAAGACGTTCAGAACATATGCTTTCAAATAAGGAAATAAAGCTTCATAAAGAAACATTATCACCTGGATACTTCATATGTTTTGTCCGCTTTCCAATGTGTGACAAAAACTCCCACCATCGCAACCTCAGACAGGGTAGTTGTTCCGTAAAGAGAAGAAGTGGGCAGTGAATATGCAAATACCTCCACAGTCTAAATTTGTTCCTGGTCGTGTGGGTTTAAATGCCGTAACAACAACATGCCTTTAAATAACCTGCCCGCTGGAACTTAAATCTGTGCTTTCTGCTACAGTTTTGGTTTGCGCATTTGTGCCTTTATTATTATTTTTTTTTCCAGAAAGTGCTTCATAACTCAATGTAAAATATTAAAATGCAGCACCATTAACATCCAATACCGCACAGAGAGGTTGACAACAAATATTGTGCTCTGGTTTCCCTAATATAATTCTGCTCTGGCAGCAGCATCGACAATAAATCTAATTGGTTTCAATAAATGTCCCATTTTTAAACCGGGTCAAGCTCATACATTGTGCCTATAAGACATAAAGCGAAGCGGAAATTCAATTTGACATATTGAAGTCAGGGATCTCCATAGAGGGACTGCGGACGGCTCGGGAGGGGGTGTACAAATCTGCCCATCATTTGATTGACATTAGCTTGGAATAAAAAAAAAAAAGAACAGAGAGAAAGAGAGAGATATAAGCATTCAGAGCACATCGGTCTCCTAGCAACCGGACATTTCATTCCATCCATTCTGCTCCGTGGCGTAGTCGGGCAGCGTCGGAGCAGAGCTATAAGCATATGGTTCAGTGAGGAAGAGGTTGCAGCGCAGTCTGATCAGATGGAAGGTAAAAACTGAAAAGAAAAAAGAGAGACGCAATATTCACCTGCCAGTGTGTCAGAACATATGCACGGTGCGGCTTTGTCATACGAGCGCGAACAATTAATGGTGGGCAGATGGCTTCAGAGAGGGGGGGAGGGACAGACAGACGGACAAGGAGGTGGATTAGCTTGTGAGGGAATATGAAAAAAGTAAACAAAATCAAAACTTGAGGCTTTCTTGTTAAACTTTTTTTTGGGGAGGGAGTGTTGCATTGGAAGACTTTCAAACGCTGGCTGATTTGATTGGCGTTCGCTAATGAGTAGAGAGGCAAGCTGGAGCACGCGGCATCGCCAACTCCAGGTCCTGCCCCCTCTGCACCGCACGCCCACTCGGCGAGCATCAGCTGTCAGCCTATCTGCTTATTTCAACGTGAGGTTGCCGTCTTCTGCAAATCATACAGGTCTCCATGCGCAACTCGGGTTTAACGATGTCTGGTAATGACGATACCCACTTTTTGTGTGTAAAAGTTTCTCCATCGCGGCCAAATGAGAACAATAGAAAATAGTGCCTTGATGCTTGCAAAATGAAGAATAATTAGCCAGACTTTAATAATCCAATGAATGCATTCTGGTAATTCACACATAATAACTTTAATCAGCATTGTAGTCCAATAAAGTCAGATCTTCAGCGAGAATATTTACTATAGAGCCATGTATAATTCTTTGCAAAAAAGTAACTTGTTTTTCTATTGATTAACAATACTGACACTTACTTATGAACAACAGAAGTCCCAGTTTTTGAGCACTTTTTTCATTGTGAGAAAGCACAGGCTATGTACATTCTTGATTTGATTTTAACACACTCGTACAAACTACTGTAGGTGCACCCCAAAGAGCCCCGCGTGGGTCGCTTCAGCTGTTTCTTCTCTAAAGGGGAGAGATAAGAGTCAGACAAGGCCGCGTCTCTTACACAATATGTAAACGACAGAATATTGTCCGGAGGTAAACCATGTAGGAACTCAAATGGCAACCCGAGAGACTGTGGATATAGGATTTTCCGCACTGGAAATCCTAAAAATAGTTCATCTCTACAGTATGCGGATAAGAGTGTTGAAACAGCGAAAAAACAAAGGTCAGCAAGTCAATTCATCTTGGGTCTAGGATGCCGAGAAATACAAAAAAGCAAAGCAACAGCCAAACCACACAGCTTGTGCCACTGTTAGAAATCGGAGAAACTAGACGATAATAATAAAATACCATCATTTTGTCACAATTAAAGGCATTTGGAAATCATTTTTTCCTTCTCTCTCCGCTGCTTGTTCCATCTTGTCGTCTTTTTCGATACAGTATAGAAACAGTAGAACAAATCAGAGTAGAGTATAAACAGGCAGTCTTTGGTGGGGTGGGGGCGTGCCGTGTCTCTGTTACCTGCCCCCTACCTCGCTTAGAGTCATAAAGTGGACGTTGGCGGCGCAGTCGGAGAGCTCGGGCTGCTGCTCTACAGGGAGGGAGTAGTAACCGTCGTATCCCGGGACACGGCCCGTGGACAGGAGCTGCTGCTTCTCTGCGTCGCTCCAGGCTCGTGTGCCTGTGTCACCCTGCTCCAGGCGCCGGCGCTCTCTGTCCCACGCGCCCTCCACCGCCCTGCGCCGCGCTTCCTCACGTACGCGTGCCCACTCCTCCTCCTCTGAGCCACCGTAGCGCACACACAGGCACAGTGCCCCCTGCTGGAGAGTGATGTCGGCGAAGCGTCGAGTCCTGCCGTTGACGTTTGCACTCATTTGGGAGACGCTCACATTCACGCCTCCCTCCAAGACGCGGCCCCCCACCCCTAGACCCAACGCCAAGTCGTCCTCGATTGGCCGGGACTGAAGGAAGTGGTGCATGTCGCAACCCTGCACAGTGAAGCTCAGACCGCTCAAGTGGACGGCACCGTTCAAAATGGCCGCCACTCGTCTGCTGTCCTCGCTGGCCACGCCGATGACCTCTGCGCTGACTCTGCCGTGAGACACCGCGAATCGGATGGAGGGGCCGAGCAGAGAGGGCCTGGAGGCAAAGGGGGGCGGGCGCGGTGGTCTATGGTTGGTGGAGCCCACGGGCCCAGAGACGAGGGGCAGTCGCTGCAGAGAGATGAAGCTTCTGAGCTGGCGACGCAGCTCACACTGGATCCCCAACACCACCTGCACACAGGACATGTCAATATGAGTCAATATGTGTCAACATGTGTCAATATTAGTCAATATGTGTCAATATTAGTCAATATTAGTCAATATGTGTCAATATTAGTCAATATTAGTCAATATGTGTCAATATGAGTCAAAATTAGTCAATATGTGTCAATATTAGTCAATATGAGTCAATATGTGTCATGGAACAAAGAATGAAAAACACACGCTGCCTCTGTGAATACTGATAAAACTGACCCTGGCACTTTAGTTATACTAATATGTCATTTGTTTTGTTTTTTACTGTATTGATAAATACAGTCAATTTGCCGGTAGAGTTGTATATCATAGTTTAAATCTAAGTACCCAAACTAATCAAAGAAAGCCGCCTGTAAAGCCAAGCAGAAAATTTGCCATATTGCAGCAGTGACATTATGTTAGACGGTGTACGTTGGTAATTACTATTTCACAAAGTAACACCATACAATCTGCAGGTGCTGGGATTCACAGTTCACCGTCAATCAGTGGGATGAACTTTTATACACTTTTTTTAATCAACTTTCTAAACAGTAATACGATAAAATGTTTCATAAAGCTGATCATAGAGCTGTTCAGTAGTATGACATACTGTAAATGTGGCCAATTTAAAATCCATATTGTTAAATATTATCCAAATACTACTCTCTCCACCCCCAAAGTGTAGAAGCTGGGGATGATCGTAAGTTGGAGCTTTGGCCTGGAATGTACCAGTGTGACATTAAACTTCCCTACATGGGCATAAGGTATCACCATTAGAACTAAATACGACTGTCTCTATATCCATCCATCCATCCATTTTCTACCCTTTAATCCATTTCTGGGTCAGGGGGGTGGCAATCAGAGATGCCACCCAAGTCTCATAGCACCAGCCATGAGACTGTATCTATATTTTAGGCTTTTTAGCAGAAAATTAAACGCAACTGAACAAAGTGAAATGCCTTATTGATGCCAATTAACAGTGCACATTCATATATAGGATTGTAAAATATTTGAAAATAATGTATACCATTTTAAGACTGTTGGACATGGTGTGGATTTGCTTAAAAGGCTATACCACAACTCATAGTCTAGTGAAAAAGGCTAAAGAAAACTTCACTTGCTGATGGTTTATGGCTCACCTTTGAAGTGTCCCAGTCCTGAGTCTTGGTCTGAGTCTTCATGAGTTCATACGTTTGCTCCATACTGGCCACCTCAGGCCTGGGGAAGCCTGGGACCACGTTATGAAGCTGAAATCCAAACAGTTGCAGCCAACTCCCAATGTCTGAACGCAGAGGAGATCGGAGGGGGAAAAGAGTAAGAAAGAAAAGAGAAGAAAATAGACAGAGCGTGTTAGAGTCTAGCTGTGTGTACTCTGAAGTAAACAGGAGTCATAAGGCCATCCAAACAACATCTAGAACAGGAAATCACACAATATATGAGCTTAATACATTGCGGTGGCAGCTCGCCTGCTTGTTTCAGTGACAAACATATTTCTCCTTGCAATAAACCATTTTGCTGCAGGGGACTGTGGCAGGCCGAATGAAAGTTGCATAAAAACGAATGACATATGTCCCAGGCTATATTCATCCTGCCGATTCTCTGTTCCTATACAGCGATCCCAGACGTTCTCTCTCTCTCTCTCTTTTAGATAGGGATGTTCTTGACAGGCCCAGGGACAAAAAATAGCCATCTTTGTGTAAAATAATGATCTGAGATGTAGCTGTTCTGTTTGTATTTGATGCCGTTTGCCTCTCATCTCACACAGGTTACCACTGTGCCCTGTTTTCAGATTTGTGTCTGGGTGTGAATGAGACTTTGCAAAGGTGTGGCAATAGCGGATGTATGTGATAATTTGGTTCCAGAGGGGAGTTTTTCCTCAGCTTGTTGTACTGTAACTAATTGTGGGGCTTTATAATAATAACAACAACAGTAATTTAGGACTGTGATCTACCAAGATTAATCCTGAAAGGTGAGCTATGTATCTTATTTGTACAAAAAGTTGAAAACAAGTGTGTGGTAAGAAAGTTGGTGAACTCTTGAATCCCACTATTGTATTTTTTTATTTATTTCTGTTAATCTCTGTTAGTCCTCTATATCGTCCTCTAGCTTTACCCTATGGTGCAAAAAGGGTTAACAACATGGCTCACTTAACATAATGTATTATTTAGATGTGAACACTAATTTAAAAACCCTTTACTGAGAATATTCTTCTTTAAGATTTGCACCGCTGGAGAGCCTCACCTGTTGTGAACTTCGTCACCTCCTCCACTCGTCCCACGGGGCAGTTGTTCTTGAAGGCGTACAGGTTAAACGGCTTGGGCTCTTTACTCAGCTCCGCCCACAGCTCGTGATTGGGCGAGGTCCACCGCCCTGCTAGCGTGTCATAGTCCCGCCTTCCCAGGTGCACCAATCGTGTGGAGGGATCATACAGCCCTCCATGAAAGCCAATGACCAGCTGGAAGTCTGGATTGGTGTCTTGATAGACTTCTCCATAAGGCGTGTATAGGATTTCTTTGACCAGTCGTCCTTTGCTTGAAAACACCGCTCTTGGGCTGCCAGTGCTGTCACAGGCAACGTAATACTCTTCCCCACTACTCAGCTCCATGGCGATAAGATGTCCTTGGAGGTCGTAATACAAAGACGTGATAAGATTGCTGCTGTGGTTGTACAAATGTGTCACTCTTGTTGGTTGGGAGAGATCGGCGTAGAAGAACTGCAGTTGCCCGCCCTCGCTGGACTTGGTGGCCACCCGGCGCCCCAGACCGTCGTAGCGGTACCAGACGGTGCGTTCGCTGACTCGGTTGTAGACTCTGATCAGGAGGCCGTTGGAGTTGTAGTCGAAAAGGTCGTTGGCTCGTTGCCTGAGGAAGCCGTCGTCGTCCACGCTGTACTGGATCTCGCCCAAGTGTGTGATGCGGTCACGCTGGTCATAACGGAGCGGGGTTAGCCTGGGAAGCATATAAATAAACATGTTAATTTAGCATTACACAAATTGGAAGGGGATATTTCTACTTTACAACACTGTAAAGGACGAACAATCTTGGCTTAAGAGCATCCACAGAGAGCAAGCTGATCCATGTCCAGGCCTGTTTTAGACCCAGAGCGTTTACATGTTGGCTACGTTACATTTACCGAGGAGAGTCAAGGGCAGTATGGTTGGTTTTAAAACATAGACTTCACTATATCTTGTGCCTAACACATATCAATTCATTTTTGCATTGTTTTTTTTACTTTGATCTGTTAGACCACTGAATTAAACCTCGATCAAATCTTATTATCCATCATCAACCCGCCCTGGAGTTGTTTTTGGCTTTATTCATATCACGAACATTCAGCAGACACTCACACTAGTCATAACTCCTCTTTCTTTTTACAAATGTACAGCTCAGTCCAGCAATAAAAAATGAGTTCAATACAACAGTGTTCCCTCCTTTTTTGTATTCAGGCGGTGGTTACTAACTTTGTAATACAATCCATTTAACTACATCCTATCTTCAAAAATAATTTGGTTCAACCATTAGTTTTCACATGCATGTATTTTGTTCACATCTTTAGATCAGCTTTTCAGACAGAAAAGTCAAAAACACTCACTCAGCCACTAAGTCTAAAACGTCAAATAGTGTCGTTAGTTACAGGGCTCCGTACATATTCTATTGGGATGGAAATAGCATGCTGTGGTTTGATTTGTTCATATTTAATCTTTACAAGACCGTTCTGTTGGAACAAACAACATGGCTTATTTATTATGGTGCCAAAACGAAAACAATTCTAAAAAACTAGATTGAAAGTGAACTGAAGTGTAACAAATTTCTACAGTATTGAAACAATGGGAGATCATTATAAGATTTTTGCTGCTGTACCTTGCACTTGTGCCGTGGCTGAGCAGGTTGATGTTTCCGTTGAGGTCGTAGCTGTACCTCCACTGCGGCCGCTCATTCACAGAGGCGCTCTGGAGCTGACTGTCGGCGTCATATTCGTAGGTGTAGCGCGTCACGTTGCTGTCCACGCCCACTCTGATGTCACAGGTGGTGGTGCGCCCCGCTGAGTCGTACTGAATGGTCATCCAGTAAGCGATGGACTTCAGGATCTCATACTGCACCTCCACCACCTGCCCGTACGAGTTGAAGACCTTGGTGTGCTTCATGAGGTGAGTGGTGATGACCTGAAAGAAAAAGAAAAAACTCAAAATAAGCACAATAATTTCAATACAATCAAACATATATGTAAACAAGAATACTGATTTGTTTAAGACATAATATTTTCCCAAAAAATAATAGTTTATTCACCTATTGTTTAGGTTGAGACAATTCATGACTTGCGAGAGACGCTTAGGTTGAAACCTAAGATTTCTTTAGAAAGAAAAGTTCTTTATTTCGTGTAAAACAAAAACATGTGTTTTAGTGAAGCAGAAGTTCACTGTTGCGAAAGGTGTTATTATTCTGGTCCTAATTAAGCAACAAACAGGTCTGAGCTATGCTCAGACAGGTGCTGCAAAGAAGCTAAATTGGACTCACATTAGCAAAAACATGGTTCATTTTTCATGAAATGTTCAATTTTAAACACATTTTACAAAATTACTTTATAACTAAAGCAAACCATAAAAAAAGAAAATCTCATAAACAACTATAAGGATAGCTTAAATAATAAACACCCACATATACCAATTGTTGTGAATTGACTCTTGATCGTTAGTCTTTCTTAAAGATACACTTTTCACTTTACAGCTGGAGCTTTTGCTTCACCTGTAAAGTCAATAGCTTTTTCTGTTCTAAACTATATAGCCAAAAAATCATTGGGCAGACCACACACATACTGTAATTTTTTTTTGTCATACCTGATTGAGATCATAGAATATGACGCTGAATTTCCCAAACTGCTCCACCCTCCCAGACACGTCCACATATCGGTACAGGTCGATGGGCAGTGGGGTCTCGTTGATCACAGCTTGCATACTGGTCACTCGGAAGTTGTTGTAGCTGTAGTCGAACCGAGCATTTACCAAACCTTCTTCACTGAAACGGAAAATCTGACGACTGGTCAAGGGACCTGCAAAGAGACAAGAGAGTGTTGAAATTAACAACACAATTAACCAGAGCAATAACGGAACATTATTTGGAGCAACATTTATGCTAATTAAGTAACCATAACTGTGATTGTGACAAAGATGTTAACAAACGACATTGTTCCCTCACCAAAAACAGACCTGGAGTGTTTTTAGATCCATCCATGCTAATACCAGAAACATGTGTCTAAAGTTCCTGTATTAGCCCTGTGAAAATATGATGCAATTGTACCACTAAGACATTTTGTACCCAGCTGAGTTGATGTTCTTTACACAAGGATGGGTTTACAGTTTGTAATTTTCAAATTTGAAAAAACCAAAACAAACCAAACTCCTCCTCCTTCTGGTGGTAGTAGAGAGAGTTAAAGGCATTAAGAGTGTTGTTCTTGTTATGCCAACTTCCTGATCTCTACATTTGACATTACAAAGACAATGATTGAAGGAGTTTTTCAAATTCACGGAAAAAATATCAGAAGAATATTACAACCCTATGCAGAGAAGAAAATCACTGTTATAGCCTCAAAATATTGGTTTGTTTTGTCTATTGAAAGGCAAATTACTCTTTGAAAGTTATGTATTACTTTTCACCGGAAACTTTCAGGGAATCTGCATTTCACACACTCAGCCTCGCAGTTGGCTGTCTTGCCACCTATATGAGCGTCAGTAATTAATTCAAATCAGGGTCTAATTCGACATCATTAACAAAGACACACGCAGTGCAATCCATTCTGACTTAACTACTCCACACCTCTATGGCATTTCGCTGGTGACCTTTCACATGGGGCGATAATTTAATCTAAAGGCAATATCCATGATGGGCCCATGTGCTGCTTAATGTCAGAGCATCAGGTTTAACACCACCATTCATCACATCTGTGGCTGGCCATTCCCCTGCACCATCATTATGGACTACATCTTCCCATTTGTCTGCTAATACCCAATATAACCAAGGTTGTTCTTTCTTTATGATAATACAAACGTTTATTGAATAGTGCAGAATAACAAAGCAGAGAAAAAGTCAACTTAGCCAGACACAGCAAAACTAAACTAAACTCACACGTATATGAATGCAGCACAAGACATACGTTGCATCAGAATCCACAGAATCCATTCTCCACAGATTCACAAAGCCACACCCAATAGATTTGAATTGTGGCAACTTTTTTTTTTTTACAGAGATCATGCTGAGGGTGGGACACAGTAAAGGTCTTGATGCAGAACTTAAAGCAGGATAACAAGTAGGGGTGTGACGATATATCGCGATACTTTCTCCCGCGATTCGATCATCAATATGCATTTGCCAAGTATCAATATCGATTTTGAAAAAAATTGTATCAATACTTAATATATGGCGACATTACTCATCTCCGTTCCATTTATCATGAAATAAAGTGTATTTTTTCTTTTATTTATGCCATAAATTGGCACATTGTATATTTCTGACCAATATATCAATAATCGTCATATCGTGATATTGTTATCGTAATATCGTTATCGTGAGCGTTGTATCGTGTATCGTATCGTATTGTGAGGTACCCTTAGGTTCCCACCCCTAATAACAAGTCAGTGCCACATGAAATGTAGGTTGCAGGTTCAATTTCCCGGGCTTTTCTATTCAGCATTGACATGTTAAGGGAGTGTTGGAATGGCCGTCCTCTGATCAAAAACAAATAAAACTCAAGATCTGGAAAACTCTACACTTCAAATTACAAATGTGCAGTTTGATCGACTAAAGAGACACAGCTCATTAGGAAGATTGAGCCAGTCACTTAAAAACAGCACCATGGTTGTATATCAGTTGGGTGTATAACAGTGTAGAGTAAAGAACCTCTTCTATTGATTACCAGGATGTGCTAAAGGACAAAAGGACATTCTGAGGACCACAGACGCTAATTTTTTTGACACACAAATTAGAAAGTGTGAAAGAGAACACAAGGCTAAACTGTCTATTAAGAGTGATACAACCATAGACTAGGGTGCATTACTGGTTTAGCGGTTGTTTTATTTTAAGTCAAGCTGCAGAACTTTTGTCTGGGTCTAGTTACAATTCAAGTCTGAACTATGAGCAAATAAACAAAATAGATCCAACTCAAACCCGGGGCAAACAGAACTAGCATAGACTGCAAACTCCACTGAGCTAATCTAAATAATTGAATCTAAAGACAATATCCACAATGGCTGGTGTGCGCCTTAGTATCAGGACATCACAATCCATCACCTTTGCTGCTCCTTATGCACCCTGCACAGCCCTGTTTGCTGAAAAGGCTTTCTATCTAATGAAACGGCATAATGATGCTATTGGAGATGACTCTGATTGCAGTTAAAATGACTTAACGCGGGGCTTTGGAGACGGCGAGAGCGCTGGATCAGCATCTGAACTTCTATTTTTATTTTCGGGGGGATGTTGGTTTTAAACTAATAGGAAAAACGGCACAGACTTGAGGAGAAAAGGTGCAGCTTATTCGCTCGCCCCCAGGGAACACGCAGTCTGTTCGTCTCACTCCCCAACTGTCACTTCCCCAAGCTGTCATTGTAACTTCTCTCTCCTCCATTCCACGCTGTAAAACCTCCAAAGTGCAGCTTGCTACGAAAATAAGTTGGTTTCCAGTTTTGGTTAACTAAAAAAAAAACAGGATCTTCTAGGAATTTGTAAATAAAATCGCACATTTTGAATTGGAAATTATTTTTCTCCTAAAAATGTCTCATTTCACAGCATCCTTGTGTAAACAGCACATAAAAATGACAGATACATTTGCTATAAACTAAGGTGTAACGTTTGACAGCTATCAAAGATTTTTTTATAATAGGCTCTATGGAACTGCTACGCAAACACAGATATTCATTCATAAAAAAGGTAAAAACTGAAAAAAACAAAACAAAAGAATTACAAGTGAAGAAAACAAGAAGCAATTCTCATTTCCAAATCATTTTAGATGAGAACCCTTCGTCAGTTACAAGACTATCTAACTTAATTTAATCTAACCATGTTGTCTGAATTATTCTATAGAACTCTGAATTGCAGCCTACTCTTTCTCATATACGAGTCTTGGTCTCAGGGTACAATTACCACTATCTCTAACCCACTCCAAGGCTGCATTTGTTCGACTGAAATGAGATCAGTTATAAGGGAAGGTGAGACTCTATTCACGACGAGGGCAAAGCGATAAACGCATACGCACATTCCTCCCATGAGCGGTTCAAAGATGAACGTTGTATGAACCAAACCAAGCAAAGAGAGTCATTTTGAAAGGTACACGATCGAGGGGTGACCCAAAATAACCTGAGTATTATATTAGTACTGGGGTAAGCACGTTTACAATGTTGGTTTACAGCTACAGCTTAGGCCCGTTCAAATCATCATAACATTTTTAATAGTATCATTTGCGAGGACCAGTTAGTTGGCAGTTATTTTCCCTTTGAGACGTGGCACAATTGTCACATTATTGTGGTCATAATTGACATCCTCAGGTCGATGCCATCAACGCTGAGTCGCCCTATGTTCTCACACAAACATATAATATGATTAATGCAGTAATTCCATATCCCCTTTTCTCATTTTACAAGGCCTTTAGCGAGCCATTAGATAATCATCCATTCTTAAGCAGACTTAGTTCATGATTTTTGAACACACACAGTTGCTCAAATAATAATTACCATTTGTAAATGTCCAAAATGTCAAAAGGTTGTAGATTTTTAGTTTACTGATACTTACATATTAACATAAAACATGTTTCGTACACAAATATTCACATTTATAGAATGTATTATATTCAGGAAAGTCCCACTGAGATTTCAGTTTTGGTAGAATCTGTATTGGTAGGGGAAACAAGAGCACCCTGAAGAAACCTATGCAGATATGGGGAGAACGTGCAAACTCCACTGAGAAAGGCTCGTTCTGACTGGGTTTCGAAACCCAGGGCCTTGAAGCGAGATTCAGACTCAGCCACCATGCTGCGTCATAATTTCCTTGATATTAATACGTTTCAGTTTCTTGTGAATATGACATATTGATCACTTTGTATAATTGAAAATATAAATAAGCTTTTTGATGAAGTTCTAAGAGCAGGTATCTCCTTTAAATAAAGAAAAATTTAATCAAGTTGAAATGATAAAATTCCACATGCTAACAAACATCAAGGGATTAAATGTCACATCTTCTATCAGGTAAGCTGATCTTAAAGGATGGCAGTTTTCAGAGGAGTCTTTGGAGCTATCATCCGAGAACAACAGGGATCAGTGACTGAGCTACACAGTATGGAAATAAGAACTCATGTAAATACAAACAAAAACGCTGTGTAAACTGTCTGTATGCTTCTGCCACCGCAGTCACATTCATATACGTGGCTGCTGTTTACTTTGATCTGAATGTCGTGGCGGAGGAGGGGATGAGGCGATCACAGCAGGTGGCCTGAAGTTTACTGCTGCGGTAGACCACACACTCTCTCTGCTCTCAACCCCTCCTAACTGACATTACACATCAAATAACATCTGCGTGCCAGAGAAACGACTACTGAGGGGACGAGGCTAAGGTGGGAAGGATTGTGCAAGGTGTTCAATACAAATGTACATGCAACAATTTAACATCTTTAAATAATCAAGTCGATATAGTATTTCATACTGCATGGTACAGGTCAGGTTTAAGAAAACAACATCATTATGACGGTATACACTACTTACACTCACGATGAACTAATAGCAGATAGTGTTGTCACAATACAATAGTTCAAACTTAATATAGGAAAATAAACTACGACAATTTCAATCCCACAGCTAAGACTTATAAATTCTCTTTTTGGACTGAGGAATTTGTCCTCCATGTTTTGGACTTGAGCACATATGGGGAATATTCAAGGAATCGGATTCAAAGAATGTACAGTAACTGGGAATAATACCTCAAAATGAATTGCATTGGATAAAAATCTGGATAAAAAAAGATAAAAAAGGGGCGACAGTAGCTCAGTTGGTAGAGCATTGGCCTTCAGGCCTGAAGGTCGTGGGTTCAATTCCCACCTCTGCACCTTCTCCACCGACTCCCACTGATGATTGCTGTCGTTGTGTCCTTGGGCAAGACACTTAACCCCACTTTGTCCAAAGCCCCCACTGAAAGATCAAGGTATGCCCACACTCAGAGAGCAGCCGTCCTCCTGTGGACTCACCACCTGCAGAGGGTCAGTGAGGGGCTGGTGCTATGAGACTTGGGTGGCATCTCTGACTGCCACCCCCCTGACCCAGAAATGGATTAAAGGGTAGAAAATGGATGGATGGATAAAAATCTTACTTTATATTGGGTTGTCTGGTATAGTTTCAAATGTATCAAGAAATGCTCAAGACACTTCAGAATGTTTCAGAAACATGCATACAGTATACTAGTATGCTAGTTTTAGTACTTTATTCTCAATACTTTGATGCTTTTGATAACCGAGTGAGCAGCAAAGAAAAACTTAATGACGCGGAAATACAATGCTTCAAAACATTTAATTGAAGGCATTAATATTTCAAGCAGATATCAAAACATTTTCTATGTGAAGTTATTAAAGATATTTGGAGGGGTATATTACATGTTTGATTAATGCAGAATGACAGAAAACACATGAATGTAATTCATTTCAGGTGAGGATGGTGAAGAACAGTATTGTGCTAGTTGAATAAGCAACAGAGCACCATGTTAGCGCTAAAACTGCAGAAGTCCCGTTAACATGCAGACCCACCTGTCTGCCTGTAGCGTATGGAGCTGATGAAGCCGTTATGAGTCAGATGAATGGTCTTAACCGTCCCGGAGGCTTCGTCATAAGTGAATGTGGCCAAAGACGAGTCATAAACCACCTCTGATAACCGCGCTGCTGCTGTGTACCTGCAAAAGAGCCAAAAATAAAACAACAAATTGACGTTAAAGCCGGAGTACCAAACTCACAACCCAAAAAAATAGAACAATCTAATAAAATACATAGTTCCTTTGTCTCAAAACAGTTGGTTCTATCACCATTTTCCAATTTTTTTCCACTGTCATATCTTTAGGCCAGCTTTTTCCCACAGAAAAGTGATGTAGAGTACTTCTATAGCGGCACTTTTACAGAAGAAACTCAGGGTAAAGACATGTTTACAAGCACTGTCCTCAGCCCTGGTTTTAGTCATGGTTTAGTCCTGGTTTAGTCCTGGTTTAGTCCTGGTTTAGTCATGGTTTAGTCATGGTTTAGTCCTGGTTTAGTCCTGGTTTAGTCCTGGTTTAGTCATGGTTTAGTCATGGTTTGGTCCTGGTTTAGTCCTGGTTTAGTCATGGTTTGGTCCTGGTTTAGTTGTTTTGGTTGTTTTCGAGCATGAGTCCCCGTGATCACTTTGCTGCTCTCTGATGTGGAGCGAGGATGTTCGCTGCTGCGAACTGCTTATATATTCGTTTATGATGCGTTGTCATGTGGATGACAGGTGCAAACAAAGAAAAATATCTGCGGTTTAGCAGATACCCGGCTACGTGTGGACGGGGCCTTTGTTTAAATCCAGCCATGAGAAGATTTTCACAGGTGCTTGACTGTGCAGCTGAGGTCGATTGCTGGGGAGCTCAGGCGCAGGTGTGTAGAGAGGGAGGATTGTTGGATAGTCAAGTGTAGGGGTCATGGGCATGTGGGATTGTTTTTAAACCAAACTTTAAAGCACTTTGTGTTGAATTTTCCGTATGATTGTCTCAGTGTGACAGGGCACGATGTCTCTTTTGGTCTTTTGGTGAATTTAGACTTAAACTCCATTTGTCTTTGTGGCTACTCAACGTCAGCAAAAATAATGACAGCACATATTATTAAGCAAAATGAACACAGATCATTTTTTGTCATTTCCATATCAAATCAGAATTAGCTGTGCGGCCCTTGGCTTTTCATGTGGTGAAAATGGGCCCATTCATTATAGTGTCCCCGCTGGAGTCACTACATATAAAATGCTTAAATCTGTGCTTGTAACTGTCCGGCCGCTCTTTCCTCAATTAAATCGCTGCAGTGTGAGCATAGTGTGATTACTAAAATGTTGACCTTTTTAGGAGTTTCTTCGTTAGGCCAATCATTGTAATTTGTGAGGAAGGCTGGATGGGTGTGCAGCTGTTTTCAGTTCAACAGATGTAAAATAGTTTTGAATATTCCACAATTATAGTCTTTGAGTACACAACCTTCATCAAGCTAATCAGTGCAATGTTTTATTTATTTATTATAGATGATATTTTTCTTCCTCTCCTTAGTAGCCGTACTCCTTCCCTACTCGTTCCTTACAAACAGCAACACAATAATATGAGTAGAGTGAGGGTTAGTTCAGATGTGGTTCACTATTTGTTTTCTCTCATTGTCTCTGGTGTGACAGTGGAACAATACTTCATTGTTGGTAGCACACACAAAAACCAAAAGGACATTGTGTCACAACAGACTCTAGTGGTACATATTAAGATCCTTTATTTGTGTCAAAATGCTCTGAAAGGTTCTTGTATTCCAATGTGGTTTTACTGCAAATGGAAAAATATATGAAAATGAAAGATATTAAATGAGTATGGTTCTGCACCTGTAGATGACGCTGCGTCCGGTTCCCAGATACTGTGTTCGAAGCAGGCGACCGTCCAGCATGTAGTCTTGGAGGAAGGAGGCCTGGCTGTCTGGAGGGGTGTAGATGTTTCGGTAGTAGCCCACAGAGAGCAGGGACTGCAGGCTGTGCCTCACCATACTGGGCATGGTCACCGCCACCAGGCGGTCCGTCTGGTCGTACTCAAACACATATCTGCGCTGGCTGTGGAGCAGCAGCATGATGGACTGTGGGACACACATTCAAATATTATATTAAATGTAATATTACAACTTCATAAAGTCATGTCTCTGCTGCACACTGTCTACATGTTCTATGGAATTGAAAAAGGTTTGAAGAACCTTTTTTTTATTTTAAACTGTGCACAAGCTTACTGTACATTAAATAATTTGAAAATTAGATTAGATTAGATGCAGCAGCCACAAAAAGTATGTCTACTTTATGATGGAGGTATACATAAAGTATACAGTGCAACACGTCAAAAATACAGCATTTTAAAGCAGGAATCACAAATTAGTAACTGCATTAGTAATCAGATCTTGAATCTTATGGCTGGAGAAAAGCCTGCCTTTGGTCATGTGCACATATATGTGTTCACATAAAATATTAAGCCCTCTTCGTTTTTAAAAGTTTTTGTGTGGATGACAGGGCAAAACATGGAACTTGGTATCTGATAAGTTACAGGGCATATATTTACAGTCTTTGAAAAAAAACAAACACCTAAATGCAGTTTCAGACCTTATGAAAATATTCCATTAGACTTTGAGCACATGTGTCTCAAGCTTTCATATAATCATAATGACTGTGTTAATATTAAATACTATGATAATTTGAATATATTTCTGGACTCTAATCTCATTCACACTTCATTAATACAAATTTAGTCCACATTTTAATCAAAAGCGGAAATTGTTAGGGACATTCTAATTAGCTTTTCATATTCATTTTTTTCATACTGAAGGTACAGTATAATTTCCATATGTGTTTCCTTTTTTCTGTATTTATTTTCAGTCAAAGGTTAAAAACAATATTTTCAATTATTTCAATATTAAATGCAAGATTGCACTGAATAAAGTACCAGTGGAAATAATAATTGTAATACATCTACACATTACTTGTGGTTTTTCAGACATTTTTCACATGAACTAAAGTAAAGTATGCATTAGAATAGAAGAACACGTGTATGTATTATTATCATTAAATTAAGGTTTTGTTGAGAATTGCCCTCTTCCGTTAGCACAGACGGCACACTTCAAAGTAGACTATACAGTAAAAGCATACAACTGTTCGTCTACTGTGATTACAATCAGTGAAATAAATGAGTGAGTTTGGCTTTAATGTGATAATGAGCCCAGCAACAGTTATAAAAATAAAATTAATCTCTGTTCAGATATAAAATGCACTTGGTTTATTGTTATAATTCACTAATGTAAGAATCTGGAAAGGACTATGACTGGGCAACTTTAGACAATAAAGCAAAATATCCAAATGTGTAAGAGGTCAGGACAGGTCTCAGGAAAGATGCACTTGAGGTGGAGTTAGAACGCTACATGCGGTTACTTTTGATTTTAGTATAAGCACCTTGAGCACAGCAGAAAAGTGAGATTTGTGCAAAGACCACCTATATGAGTTATGCTCAGAGTTTGTGTCTTAGGGCGTATTCACACCTTTCTGTCATGTGCTCCATTCACTTCAGTAGGAAATGCAACAGTCTTGACTTGAAGTGGATCAGGTTGAAATGAAGTTTACCAGGCAATACAGGTTCACTGAGGACTAAAGGCTTTCATACACTCGTTGTGAATATAAACAGGTCCGTGTGGTTCAAGCGTGTCCACCTTCAGTGCATTTTATACTTTCATAGGTTAGAAACGTCAACATGTGTGTCACAACATGAACCACAGGGGGCAATGGCGAAACCAGCAAAGAAAAAATATCTACAACAAAGATGGCGTTCCGCACAGGGAGACACAAATGGGATCCAAGCAAACCATGGCAGGCAGAGGGACATGTGGACCACGAGCCCGGGTACTTCACAAGGCCCCCAGCATTTGGCCTTTGTTTTGCACTCTTACTGTGCATCCACACACTCCCTGGAGACGGATCAATCGACAGACAGAGCTGTGCACATGGCAGACGGTAGCCTTAGTATGTGTCTTGTACATGGAGTATAAAAGAGCCTTTTCTGTGAGCGCACCTTTAAAGGCAGGAAATGCTTATGTAGGCGATACTTTATATAGTGAGAATCTATGACACCCGTGCCTCATTATTCTTCATTTTGAATATTTGAAATATCAATATTGATTTAAAGCAATGTAATAAAAGAGAGTCTGCACTTCTTAATTCAGTCCCGCCGCATTGCTCTGTCCTTTTACACCACATCAGCAGAAACATGATAACAAATGAATACAGGCTCCAATCACACCACTCAAGTTAGTGATCAGAAGATTTTTTTCCTACATGCGAAAACATAACTGGAGGGCTGCCGAATCATTGATTAATGACACACTAAAACTTTAGAGGTCTTAACAGTAACTTGATACATAGTTGGTTGATACTCAAAGTGTCCTAAATAACTCTAAATTACAGTTGCAGTTTGTGGAAAGAAAAAATGTGGGCTTGCTTAGCATATGAACTGCTTCAGATGAGTCAATAATGAGACATCTCTGATATAACACAATTTATCTGTGTTGCTTAGGAACAACACCAAATGAAATGAGGCTGAAATGCCTTGTGGGTATGACCTTATGCAATGTGATATCTGATGCACATGTACTACTTTGTAATAAAAACTGCTGCAACCGATGATTTTGAAGAAAACATGATCGGAAGGCTGTGTTGTGCAGAGCCATCTGCATTTAGAAGGACCTTAGATCTGGTATTTAAAAAGCCAGATATCTTAAAAACTAAAACTACAATGTTAAACCCAGCAGAGTTTAGTTACAGTCCATTAATGTTGAATTATTAGCTTCAAATGTATTGGGTAATCTTTACTTAATATTTGATGTAGATTCTATTCAATAGACTTAATTCATAGAATAGTAAATATTTTCTGGTTCACTTTGGGCAAAATACCTCATTTGAGTGAACCTGTATCTACTACTCACTTAAGTCAGTTTATTTCGTTTAGAATAGATCTGTGAAGCTTTTTCACCCCGAGTGAACCAGACAAGGTCCAGTTAGAGTAAACATGACCAGTGAAAACAGGCCCGGATTATATACAGTATCTTGATGAAAAGCACATATTTCTCATCTGTACACTGGACTCCTCAGATGAGACTTACCTTGTCTGCGTATGTATAGGTCCAGATCTTCCCGTTGACCCAGGCCCTGGACACCACCCTGTCGTTCTCGTAGTCCAGCCGCTCGGACCACTCCCCCCGGTGGATGGAGGACAGCAGCCCTCCCCCTGTGTACGTGATGTTTACTTCTGTGTACTTGCTGCTTGGAGACCACACCACAGGACGTCCCAGGACATCGTATTGAATGTGCAGCGTGAACTTTCTGTGGTCATCATAGATCTTCCCAACTCGAGTACTCTGGTCAAAATCTATAGACAGTAGATTCCTATTGTGTGCCTTGGAGAAAAAAAAACAAAAAACAATTAAAATCAACTTCAATTCAAATTGTCTGCGTCTGAAAGTATCTGTCATCCTGGAATGTTCAACTGTCTACAAGTAATACCTCACTATCTATCAACACAAGTTATAGAGTGCACTTTCAAACAAAAAAACATTATTGAAATAAACTCAGAGTAAGTACAAGTACATGCAAATATGAATTAAGTGGCATGTCATGCAGAGGCACAGATTTCATTAGCTTGGATAAATTAATTGTGGCATTTAGAACGCAAGTTTCATAATAACGTCAAATTGAAAAGAAGCAGCGCATCGTGGGCATTGCTAATTAATCAGAATACATCAGATAAAATGTCCTTGTCTATATGAAATATTTAGCCTGCGGTGAGACAAAGCTGTGAAAATAGACACTTATCGGGGAAAGTACAGCAACATAATGAGCCATACAACGTTTGTGGATCAATACTAGTACCAATACAAGTAATTCCTTACAGCATATAGCCTAATTCTCATTCAGAATTACATTACTAGTTCAATTGCTTCAGGTTTTGAGAATATTAACTATTACCGGCTTGCACTGCTTGTCAACATTTTACAATAGAAAAATAATCTTCCCATTGTTTTGGCATACATCGTAATGATAAAGAAAGCAAACTTATGCTGCCTCCACAATTGTCTTATAGACACCTCAATACAACTGAACTGATTTTAATTCTGGTGTGTATATCTAGGCTGTATGCGTTTGTGGTACAGCATGAATCAAAGGGAGGAAGCGGCGTCTTTGATGAAGCAGAAAACAAACGCTGAGCTGACATTTCTTTGTACATGTTATGGCATGTGCAAAGGTCAAGTTACAAAGTCTATGCCTAAATGGGCAGCGCGAGAGGAGCCACGCGATATGACCTCAAATCAATACACGGATTAATTGGACACTTACTTCACCTGCAATAAAGGCCTTTGACAGTCTCTTTAGGAATATATGGATGTAATATTGTACAGTTGAAATACTAACTGGACACAAATAAATCACTGCAACTGACAATTATATGAACTTTTCATTGCAAAAAACGTGTAAAGTAATTGTTGATTGTCTTAAAAAAGATTTGCAAATGTCTCACTTCAAGTGTGGTATTTTTTTCTCTCTTGGATAATAAGACAAATCTTTAGGAATACAACAAAATTCATGGAAACATTGACTTACTATTTGTATTTATTTGCACTGTACAATTTACACAACATCATCAGAGTTGTATGCGTCCTAAATTAATTCTACAGCAATATACATGAATTGAGCATGTGCTCAAATGATGAAATAATAAAATAAGTGAATTTTACAATTTGTACATGGATGTTGTGGATGGATGGAGGAACCTGTTGTGCTGAAAATTCAGAAAGGCACAGTATACAGTATGCACAATCAATTCTACAGTTGATTCACAAAGAGCAGCAGGAGAAAGATACAATAGAAAATAAATGTAATTTTTAATTAGTGTCAGTGAATCAAGACACCCATTGTGAGTTTATGGTCTAAGACTGTTGTAACATCTTCCAAAACCAAGTGTACATTACGAGAATTAGTGCTGAAAGGCTATTTTACCCTGAGCCTGCGTTCGTAGGTGGTGTAGTTGGATTTGCTCTGCTCTTTCCTCTGTCTCCACTCGATGAGACTGGGGGCGTGGTCACCCGGCAAACTGATGTTGCAGCGGCTGGCGATGGGACTGACTCCACCCCCCGAGGATCCGGGCAGAAGGGGCTCAGTGCTCAGGGTCAGCTCCATCCCATTGGCCAGAGACACCAGGAAGGACCCGTCAGCGCTCACCCGGTATGAGCTCTGGGCATGGTCTAAAAATAGATAATGACAAGATAATACTTAATGAATAAAACATACTATAAAAATAATATGAAAAAAAATATTAACAAATAAATAAAAAAAAACATTTGCAAACAACTTCTGCTGCAACTTGACTGCTAAAGCAACTACTACTACTACTACTCCTGACTGCCAATCTCCTTCTACTATTTCTGCAACACTATTTTACTTTTACTAAAGTAATTTTGCTACTGTTTTGTAAAAGAAAAAACACCCAAAACTAAAAAGACAAACCTACAACAAACAGACAAAACTACAACTATGTGGACTAGATTTGGAGAATGCAAATTGGGTGCCGTTACTTCGATATAGCAGCAAACATCACGGACCACAAATGCACTCTGGGGGGATGCAGATGAAAATGTGTGAAAAAAAACACATCAGTCACTGTCTGTGAGCAAACAACCTTGAGAAAAAAAAAAAATCAATGTTGTACAGAACACTGCCTTACTGCAACCACACGTCCTTTTATTCTTTTGTCTGGATCTGATCCTTCAAGCTGTATGTGCTGCTAAGTGCATTTTCACCATTCTTACCATGTTTTTGTGTCTAATAATTGAACAGAGACAGAGTGAAACTGTAAAGCAGTGGGTTAGACAGAAAGACTGTTCTTTCACACTTTTTCAGAGCCTTCAAAACTTTGTTCTACTTTATAGACTTAATCTATATTTGTCTCATTGTCACATAATGGCCTTAAGTGGAATCCAATTTTTATTAAAAAAGCTTTTACTGCGAGACCTCAAAAAAGAAGATTAAGTTGGGTAAGGTATGATGTAGATTGCATTTGACCCATCCTTCCAATGTCAGATGGACAACCTGTCTCCAGATGTATCTACAGGAAGGGCTGGGTCGGCATGAGGTTTGAACCACTCTTGCTTTCTATGCACTCAGCCATCGTACTTGAGGCGAGTACTTGGAAACTCTAACTTTAACCCTTTCAGCATACTTTGCACTGCACTTGAGCTGTAATTACTACTGTTATATTTTTAGCTAATTGCTAAATGTAAGTTTTCCTCATTAACTGCTGCACTTCCAACAGCCCATGGACGGAACTTCAGTTTTTAATTATATTTTTCAACTTTTGTCAGCCGTTCAATAGAATACAATAAAAGAACTCCTGGACCTATGAATGATGAAAGTTAAGTTGTATCCATAATATTTCCAATCATATCAAACATTCTCAGATGAAACACAAAGAATTTGAACTTCAAATACATAATCCATAATTTTTTACAATGCCCTAAATGTTATTTTAGTGGCCTTGGCTGTGAAAGAGGAAATGTCAGAACCTAGAAATCCCTCCATAGATCAGCTTTACTAGACTTTGTATTTACCTTGTTCTCGGCAGAAATAAACCGATTTTGAATTTCCTCTGTTGTGTAAACTTATAATGAGCATAAATTAGCCTTTAGGCCCAAACTACACTCTCAACTTCACATAGAGTCCAGCGCTTTATTTTTTACCCATAGGGGTTCTTGAAAAAATGTGGCTTTAATCAATATTTCCGTTCATGTATTTGTATATGTAGTGACCAGCCAAATACATGGGCTTGACTTGTTTGTAGATAACTAGACTTTCTCTCTGCCAATCCACCTACCTTGAGCAATCTAGAACAGGGGTCATTTTGTCCACTCACATGTGCCTTATTGCATCAGTGTGTGCACAGACAGCTTTCCTCCCCTGTTGTCATTGTCACAACTGCCTGAAAGCAATTAAATGGACGACATGAAGAAAGGGCTCCCACGAGAGGCCTCCACGCGTCCCCACCATCATTCTCGCCTCTCTCATCTTCTGGCCTCCTCTATGCTTTTCTTTTATCGAGCTTTGTTAAGACGTTTCGCAAGTCGCCAGGATGTGTTTGTTTATTTTGGTATATATAGAACAACTCTTTTCCCCCTCACAGATAGGCCATTAGATACAGGCTTGTGTAATGGGTCATAAATATGTGGGAAATGCTGGCCACATCTTTAGAAGCGAAACATGTTTTAAAATTGGTCTAAGAGTCCATTAGACATTCATTTAAAGCTGGGGTTGTAAACTTTCAAGCAAAAACAGTACAACTCGTAGAAAAATCCGTGTAACAAGCTCTCAAAACTTATTTGGCCTTTGTCAGATCTTAAACCCCAAACCCTAAAACAGGTTTCTTTCTAAGTATGCAAATGATTACATTTCTAATAAGAAGAATACGTTGTGGTCTGATTTGTTCAAAACATTTGACTCTTTCTGTTGGGACTTACCATATATAGTCTTATTAAGGAGAAACGATGAGATAAACCTGTTTTTGTCCCTCAGTGGAGAAATCTCAAACACCACATTAGGCAGCTGGCTATTTTCTTTCTGCCGATGAAAAAGGTGCCCCAGCTTCAAAACGTACTGTATGCCTGTGGATTTTCAAGCCCACTCACTATAAGGACAGGTTAAACTTTATTCAGTGCCATATAGAGAAGAAATTGACTACTTGTCATGGAGCTTCGCGAAAGTTCACCGTGGTAGACCCGGCTGCTGCTGCCCAGGCCACAGGCTGCTCTTCCTCGACTCATCAATACCAGCAACGCCCACATCCAGTCAACCAATAACCACCAGGACAGCAAGTTAAAAGCCGGAGACGCCCACTTCCCGGTCTTCTGAAGTTTGCAAACTTCTGAAGCCTGCAAGGTGCATGTCGCTAACGCACCTGTTCGCAAATGCATGCGTTCTACGTCATGGTGCTACGTCCCTTAGGACTTCGCTAGTGGGATATCACGTGACCCCCAGGTCACACGCCAGAGAGATCAAAATAATTTGCTCCAATCACCAGCCACCCTCCTCTATAAATGCCCCTACACAAGGCCGCACCCCCTCTTTCACTCTGGCGCCGTTTGAGATCTACCACAGTACTTACTTCATTCTGAGATGTCTTCCTTGTTCGTCCGAGTTCCCTTCGCCCTCCGGCGTCGGACGTCGTCACTGGATCCAGACGGTGGAGGACTTCACCTCGGTGGGTGCCACCACTCGAGGAAGGAGGAGGATGCGACCCACGTTGTGCCCGCGGATGGACCCGTTCGTCCATTACGCGACACGTGAGTGGCCTAAGCCCCTAGCAGCCAAGAGGCCTGCTCTGGGGTACGACATGTACTGCAGCGGGCAGGACTGGTCCTGGACCGGTGATCGAGGATTCAGTCCGCATGGCCCTGCAGCCCTCCGTATCCGTGTGGCCCGGCACCAGACCTCTCCTTCCCTCCGAGCGGGACAGGACGTCGAGGATTCAGTCCGCATGGCCCTGCAGCCCTCCGCATTCGTGTGGCCCGGCACCAGACCTCTCCTTCCCTCCGAGCGGGACAGGATGTCTTGGCGATGCTGGATAGATGTTATGCCAATGCAGCATTGACTAACAACATGGCATTCATCACGGGGGCCCTGGATATGTCGCTCTCTTCTGGACAGGCGCTCAGTGGAGACCTCCTGTCACAGGCGAGGACCACCTCGGCTGCGACTCTGCGCATGTGCCAGACGCTAGCTGTGGATGGTGGCCGCTCCATGGCTGCAGCCCAAGTCGGGCCAGGCACCTTTGGCTTGGGCTGGCTAATATCAGGGAGGCGGAGAGGAGGCAGCTGCTGGACCTGCCCACCTCTCAGATGTCCCTCTTCGGCCCGGACATGCAGGCCTTGGTGGCGAGACTGGAGTCTGCAGCTAAAGACTCGGCTAGGCTAGCCCCGCACCTAGCACCGAGGCGCGAGGCCCACCAGCCATTACGGAGCCGGGACAGAGGCAGAGAACGTTGGCCCGGGAGGCATCCTGACCCGTATCCGCGCTCTGTTATCCATCGTCCCCCCTCGACGAGGCCCCCGGGTCCAGACAGACCCATGGGTGGCTCGCGGGAGCAACGCACCCACCGACGACCTCCCTATGGCAGAGGAGGTCGGGGTGGGAAGAGTTCTTTCAATAAAAGCCGTGCGGCATTTCATCAGTACTCGCTGTCTGAGTCTCATTTGGGGGTATGTAACATGTCAAATGATTTGAATTCTGATTGTGTTACTTCTCGAGCATATAACGTGGCTCCGCTAGGCCTGCAGCCCCCAGAGAAGGGCGTGCAGCGTGCTACGCGGGCCACGGGCTCCGATTCACGGGTTCATGTTTTGCCCTCCCGGAGAGAGGGCAGGCGGAGGGATCTGGTGAGTGATAATGTGTGTGCTCCAGCCGAACGCGTGTTAGCATCTCTGAGCTACAAGGCTAACACGGGGTTTCCCACTCCAGGGGCTCGTCCCCCCCCTCCATGAGGCAAGAGCCAGGGGGGCACAGCAGCCGAGTCACGTGTGGTGAGCAGAGCTACAAGGCTAACACGGGGTTTCCCACTCCAGGGGCTCGCCCCCCCCTCCATGAGGCAAGAGCCAGGGGGGGGCACAGCAGCCGAGTCACGTGTGATGAGCAGTCCCGTACTTATGACGTCGGGCCTGCAGAACACGTGACCGCCCCCGGCGCTCACGGTGTGACGCAGGGGGCCCCCCGGCCCTTTCGGCCACCCCCCCTCCCTGCTAGGAACACCAGGAGAGGGCGGGGCCGTGACGTCTCGTGTTTCAGCTCCCGTTCCGCCCCTCACAGACTTCTACAGCATCTGGAGGGAGCAGGGTTTGGATGACAGAAAACATTGCGCAGGGGTGACGCACTGCAATTCTTCCATAAGCCACCACCATTCCGAGGTGTACGGGCAGTGCGCTCCAGATACGGGGATCAATAGAGGCACTGCAAGCGGAGGTCTCCTCTCTGCTGAGTCGAGGCGCAGCAGTGGAGGTAGACCCGCAGGACGCCACCAGGGGGCTGTACTCCCCTTACTTCTTAGTGCCAAAGAAGTCAGGCGGGGTGCGTCCCATTCTGGATCTGCGCGTGTTGAACGAGTGCTTTTCCTAACGGAAGTTTCGGATGCTGCCCACAAAGCAGCTCCTCGAGTGTGTCAGGGAGGGAGACTAGATGTCCTCCATAAACCTGACAGATGCGT